GGCAACTCAGAAGGTCATCTGGCCCAACCACACGTACAAAGCAGGACCAACTTCAAAGTTAGATCACACAGAAATGTTTCCATTTCTACATGTTCATCAGATTAGACATAAATTACAGTGTGAAGCCTTTGAGTGGATATACCCTGTTCTATCTTCCATCAAAGGTTTATCCCTATATTCTCCTCATCACCTGCCAGAGGGCAGGCAGACATTTTCTCCCAGCATAAATCAGCTATTTCCTTTTCTCTTAAGCTTGATAGTGCTTTTCTGTGGCACCATGCTGGCGTTTGCACCTGTGTTCAATTTAAAAGCACTAAATGTTTCCTTTGCTAAGAGAATGACATTTAATTCGTTTGTGGCAAAGCTTTCTGTGCCTCTATAAGAAATTCTTATAATGGTGCTGCTATATCCTCCTTGTCTAGAGTTCCTTTGCTGATTGTTACCCACTGCTGAAAAGTGTTGTTATTCTCAGTGCTCACATCTCAGTTCCAATTAATTTTCACAGTAGAAGAGGATCATTGTCCTGTTTCTGTGAGGTTCCAGACCAAATTCTACGTGACCTACATTTCAGGATTTTCCTTGTAAGTCTAGGTATTTGAAGCTATAACATGAATATTTCCTTTTTAAAACATCCATTCAAAAATGCCAGTTTGTCAGATTTGCAAGCATTTAAACTAGCAGTGTTCTTCAGGCAGTGAGAAATAGCACTTAAAATTAGCATTTGACTCCACAAGGAGTAATGAGTTATGCACCCAGTGTTCTTGGAACTCAGGGGAACTTTGTGTTTCAGTTTAGCAGGCTGATATCTCAAGCAGATTAAGAAAAGCATGCCAGCTGTTAATTAGAGCTCTGAACACCAGTCACAGCAGCACCTGCTCTCCTTATTGTATACTTCAGTTCTCATGTAATCACACTTGGATTTCTCTTGGTTTAGAAAACATTCAAACATAAAATAAATAGAAGTCAGTGTATTACAACCTCCTGCATAGGCTGATATCTTCTCAAGAAGTTGTTGATTCAATTCAGGTCACCAAAGATTTCTTTAATAGTCCTGAAAAGGATGGAAGCATGTTTCATATCCTTTCAGCTGTGTAGCCTCACAAGTGATAAGTAGAACAGAAAGTGATTCTCATTGAGGAAAGTGTGTGTTTTGTCTGCTGCTTGCTATTTCCTGCACCCTGGCCATTTTTGCCAGTATGGGTGAGCTGTTGCATTGCAGGACTTTTTATTTAACTTTTTTTTTTTTTTTCATCTCAGTGTTGCAAATTGCTATTCTTGTAACAGGTGTAAAAAGAGAACAGTACTTCAGCTGTGTAGATGCATAACAGAATAGAACTGGCCATAATACATAATGCCCTTTTTCACTTCAAAGTTAATGCTAGTTTTCATTTAAAATATTATTATCCAAAAAGGCATAAGCAATAAACTCAAGAAAAAGCTTCATTTTTTTCTTCGGTGAAAAATAGTTAAAAAATTGTGTCAGAGTTCTGAGTAAAATTGCCACATAAATCTTGTGATGGTTTTCCTCCTGACCAAAACATTTAGTTTCTGTGAAAAAAAACCATCAGCAATACAAGATGTAAAGGAGACAAGGGCATTTAGCAAGCTTCTTCATCAGGATGTTTAGGAACTCAGATCCTGGAAGTACTCGATGTAACTTTTGACCATCTTATCCTCCTTACCCTAAATATACATAGCTGATAAAATAACACAACATATTTTTCACAAATGTCTTAATACTGTTCTTACAAGGGCTACTCGGAGAACTTGCTCTTCTACGTGCAAAAGGAAAACCTTTTTCATAAAGGGGATTCAAGGGGACACAATATTTTTCAGGTTTACTTGCCCTGGGGAAAAAGACAGTTTGTATTAATCTACTTCTGAAAAAGAAATTATGACAATTATGATTCTAACTTTCCACTAATATAGCCAGGAAGAAGTCACCACTATCACTGAAAGTGATGGATATCACATTTTACTTCAGAGATGTCCAATTTAAATTCCTTGACTTTACTGCTTAAATAATATCACCTAATTTATCAAGAAAGCAAAGGATCTAGTTGTCATTGGAAGACACTTGCCTGTGACTTGACACTGTCACAGGCTTGGACATTAGCATCACAGAAAACAGCATCACCTTTGTAACAAATTTCCAGGCAAGCTCTGAGGAATTGGCTCAACCCTATTTTTGTCCATAGCATCCAACTTGTTGCCCCATTTCTTCCATTGCAAATTTTCCAGAATTCTTTTGCTTCTGTAAGAATGTTATCATTAATTCAACATTTAAGGTGAGAAACATCTAAAAGGTGTAAGTGCTGCAGACTGGAAAATACTGCTTTCACCATTTTGCTTCATGTCACATAGCCTTCTCTCTTACAGAAATTAATGATCAAGCTCATCATGAGAAATGTGTTAAGGGGAGACTTAGCAAATCTGACCCGAAGAATTTAAAGTAAGTTTTTGATTTATTATTATCCTTCACACAGACAAGAATTATGTTTTTTTTTTCATTAAAGAGCACTTGTGAAATGACTACTAATGGTATTAGGATAGCACTTAGGCCACATGCAAGCTAGGGCATGAGGATATGGGAAACAAGGGAATTTCAGGGAAGATTTAATCAAATCCTCAGAGTGGGCTTATAGTTGTATTACATTCAAAGACTTTACTTTCTGCTGACCTTAAACTCTTCAGCCATAGATGGATGACTGCAGAGATATAAAGGCATGAGCAAATGCAGACTTTCATATGTAGAGTCACTTCCATAGATAGAGAGGATTTGTGCTAATAATGTGCTCTGAAATCAACAAGTTTATGTCTGTATTAGGGCAATGCAGGAAAAAAAAGAAACAGAGAAAAAAAAATCTTTGGAACTGAAATGGTTTAATATCTCCAAAATCAAAACACTTTGAAACAAATGTTAAAGAATTTTGGAGAGATCAAGCATTTTAGATTTTAGATTTTGTTGTGCATATGTGACTGCTGTAGTCAGCCTGAACAGCATTTGGACAGAAGACTTCTGGAAACAAGTTCTTTTCACGCACATTTTTATTTGTTCTTATTTGTAGGCAATAACCAAGAGTGGGTGATATATTGCTGTGTCTTAGACTAACACATCTGTGCATGTAACCTCACTGACTTCACCTGAGGTAACTAACTGCTCAGTGCACACATGGAGATATATGCTTGTACAGCTAGTGTATTACTTGCCCTTTCACCATGAAACAGCTCTGAGCTCGTGCTGCATGGAAAGGGGCTCTCAGTCAAAATAGGGTTGAATACGAACCCCACACATAGCAATCAATCCATGCAAAGGCATGGATAAAGTGTGGTTAAAAAAAAAAAAAAAAAAAAAAAAAAAAACACTTCAAAAACCTTATTTCTTTCTTTTTCCTCAGGAAAGAGAAAATGTGCCTTCTCCAGAGGCATTACATCAGTGCTGCTAAATGCGATACGCTAATGAGTCACGTATGGCAACCTTTCTCTGGGCAGCAATGCAGACACTAAACAGACACTTCTCTTGCCTTCATTAGCTGTGGTTTCCTGATTAGCCAAAGGTACATGAAAGGATCACAGATCTGAGACACAGACGAACCACGTCAGTCAACAAGTGTTCAGTTTTTAAAGTGCTCCCCAAAAACCATACTGATGTTACATGGAAATGGTGTGCTTATATCAAAGCAAAGATGCTGCAACAGTGCAGTGAATGTAACCAGGGTTAAAGTACAGTCACACTCTTTTGAGGTCAGCATCTTTTTGTGAGAGCAAAGCTTTCTGAGAAGAATGGCTTCGGTTTTCAGATGGTGTTGTTTCTGTATGTGGGCCACCATACCCGTCTGCACTGCTCATCAGTGTAATGCAAATATTCAAATCCTATTTGGGAACTCCTGCTACTGACACTCCTCATCTGCTCACTTGAATAGAAGTGATATAAGAAATAGATAGATATAAGATATATATATATATATATTATATATATATATATATATAAGGAAGAATCTAAAATTTCTGATAGCATCAGGAAGCTCACGTATCAGACTCAAAATACAAAATGTATGTGTTATGATTCTAGACTTTAGTTTTCATACATTGTCACTTTTTAAGATATAAAGCCGCTGTACAGTCATTGTAGCTAAATTGTTAAAGATACGTGTGATTAAGGAACTGAACATATGCTATATTGCATGATATTAATTTTCCCTCTTGGGTTTTTTTTTTTTTTTTGTTTGTTTGTTTGTTTTTAATCAGGAAGAGATACTTGGAAAAAAAGGATGTAAAATTTTCCTCATGCTGTAGATTGGAATCATTTCGGTTTTGCCATTACAGAATCTGAAGGTTGCGTTGTAAACAAAGCATTTTTTCATATTCCTTTGATATTAGAGAGGTATTAATTTGGATCAAAGATAGAAGATACTAAAAAAACAGCCTCTATGAAAAATATGCAATTTTCACTTTAGTTTTAGAAGCAAAGACATAGATAAGCAATGATGCAATTATTTGATATGAAATCCATTTCCTAGAATAGACCCAGAAGTACAAAACTTCATCACTGGACAGAGGAGGAAGAAATTGGTGTGTGTGTTACTGTGTTCCACATGTATGTAAAACAATAAAGCTAATAAATTATGTAGAAATAACATTGAACAAAAAAAAAGCTAAGAAATGCTAAGAATGTCTTTGGTGCTGAACTACGCTCCTGACCTGTCTACAGAATGGCAGAATTCTCATTAGTTCTCATTATGTGAGATGAGTTAATATAATTAGCAGTAATGTTGTTGTGCTGTGATGCCCTAAGGATGTATCAAGGCAAGGTTTGAAGGGAGAGGTAAGAGAGAATTCTGAGTGAAGCGATACAGCTGGAGAAGGCAGACAAGGTTTTTGGCACACGTGAACTTCCTCAGGCCTGAAGACAAACATCAGCAAAGTTGAGTTTTATTTTGTAACCTCCAGAAAGGCTCTTATGCCAAGGATTCATCTATTTTTTTCAACTGTTTTAGGTCACTTAGTGAAAGCTGTTACCTCTCTGTAAGCACATCAGCAGGCTTACTAAACATAGGCACTGAGTGGAGATTTATCTGATACCAACCATCAGACACAAAAAATATTTCCTGCTATAAAATTCCTGATCTATCTTCACTGCCAGGTATGGACTGCATCATAACTCCCACTTTCTTAAAAAGAAGGAATTGAAGTGAAGAGATAATACAGTCAGCTTTCTATCTGTAAAGACCCACTCACTCCAAATGGTACTGCAGGTATCAAATAGGTAGAGGTAGCAAATGTATCACAGTAAAAATATTTCCAAGCAGTAGATTATCTTTGCTGCTTGACCATCATTACGGGTATGCATTTCTTCATTTCTTATCACCTGTCCAACTGAGAAAGTCTACTGTGAAAAACAGTTTATACATTATTCAAGTTTAGTCAACTAATAGAGTAGATTGACCTTGTCTCCTATGAAAAGAAGCAACTTTTTCTTTCTGGTAGCTTTCAGAAGAATAATGGCTGTGGTGATAATGAATAGCTTATTCATATTTCATATGTGAAATACCAACAGTGTGCTAATTAGGGAAGGTCAGAGCACATGGGAATAAAATGTGAACCTCTTAACCTTGAATAAAGATTAAAGAATTTTCATCTTTTGTTAAGAAATTCTAATTGGGTTTGGAATGGGCCACTGGATGCTCTCCTTTGTGTACCATCCCCCAAATCCTCCTCTGTCAGAGCTATTTCCTTGCCTGGCTGGAATGCAACTGAACCAAAGAGCCACATGTGCTCTTAGGTGTCCTGAATGCCTCTCAGGTGGCTTAAGTCATTGTGAAAATGAATAGAATCAAAGGAGAAATATCTGTGTCTCCCTGGAAAGAGAGAGAATAAGAAGACCAAAGAAAAATGTTACAATGCTCTAAGCATTTGGCTCTGCGCTTCCCGTCATCCATTTTGCCTCATGCAGGACAGAGCCATTTCTATGGGGAAGCCCAGCCAAACCTGGAGCCCCTTCCAATCTTGGGGAGGACAAGATGCTGTGCTATTGCTGGCAACAAGCTGTCTCCTCCTTGAGGGTGGTGGAATAGGGCTGGACTCTCCCCCTCTAGAACGTAACTCTGCTTTATGGTCACTGAGGCAGAAAATTTGTAATCCATTCAGAGGGAGAGAAGAAAGTCATCCAGCTCATGGTAGTTAAGAGCAATTATCATTTTTAATCAGCAGTGTCACCTGCTTGGACATCTTATCTGTGCCAAAAAAAGGTCATTTTCCCTGAAATAGTCCAGCAGATGTGACGCTTTTTTAGTTATTTTCCTTGAAATGGATGCAAAAGTTTGAAAACATCTTTTGTTCATGCTTCAGAATCCCATATCAGAATAATTTTATATTTTCAGTCTAGGGCTGTATCGTTTTCAAAAGCTGGAGAAAATCTGCTATTTTGGAATCATCTGAGCATGAAAATTGTAATTTTTACACTCTAGGAGGTCTAATGTAACTCCCACTGATTTTAATGCAAGCTGGACTGGATACTAAAAAATTCTGATGTCTTTTTGTATTTTGATTGACCAAAAGTGGCAAGGATTGTAGTTTCACTGATAGTAAATGTTGTAGAGCAGTCAATCTTCACACAGAAGTGTAAAGGGGCCAGTCTGGAAATGATAGGCATGTAATAAAAGGAGTCACAAACCTCTAAAAGAGGAGTGGCAGGGGTTTCTTTTTCTTTTTTCCTAGGTTAGTAGAGAGGCTGAAACAGGAAACTGATGGAGTCCATGAAGATGTAATGAAAGTGACAAGCAGCAGTAGAAGAAGGAGAAATTCTATCCCTGGAGAGGTGAGTGGAAAAAGAAAAGCAAACATTTTCTTCCCTCTTTGTCTACAGCCTCTAATTCAGGTGATTTTTCTTAGAATGGAGGAGTTTTTACATCCAGATGGCTTACAATTCCAGAGCTGAACCCAAAGAAATATAAAGAAGAAAATGAAGATTGATCTTTTGTCAAACTGTAAGCTGTATACCCCGGATTGCAGACATTTCAGCAGTCCAGATCTCAGACTGGCACCTTGTGCCACCTCCACACAAAGCTAAGTCATTTCAGAGGTGTGTGGGTTGGGAGTGGGCAGGTTATGACGGGAGCGAGAACTGCTTAATTCAGTCCATAGATGAAATAGCTTGCAGAAAGTGCAGAGGTTAATTAAAATTGTAATAGTAGCAGTCTTAGTAAGCAGGTTGCAGCTTTCAATTAAATGTGTGGCTGTGGGCAGGTTGTTTATGCTTCTGCTATTGTCTTGCATCAAAGAGTGCCCTGAAATGCATGAGCAGCGGGTCCCGCTATGCTATCTCCTGTACAGCAACAAGCTGAGTGCTTATAGCAAGAATTGAAGAAAAACTGGTTTCTGACTCACTGTATTAGGATCATCATAAGAAGAGCAGAGGGGAGCCAGGTTAGCTGGCAGATGTGGGCATTGCAGGAGGCTGTTCATTCTAACCTGTACAAAATTGTTTCTCCTTTGCCTGAAGGTTGGTCCTGGCCAGGAGGAAAAGGAGAAGCAAGAGAGAAAATGCCAAAAACAGTGTACTCTGGTTCTATCTCCCTCAGCTGGGTGATCCTTGAGGCCTGTATCTAGGAATCAATTAATGTTGCCTTAAATAGACTATCAGGATATATGCTCCTTTTCAGTTTCCCTTCTCCCTCCTCCACCAGTACTGCCAATAGTGGATAGTGAGTTTGATATGTGGAAAAGAGATCCTGACTAGATTAACCTGGTTTTTGGGCTAACTTTCTCTGAGATGAGAATGGTTATCATAAGGTAATTAATCCACCTCCACAGAGGCTCCTTACTTATGTCAAACTGGAAGTATTTTTGACAGAGTTCAGTGAGAAAATTAAGGTTTTTCCTTTTGGCGGTATAGCTGGAAACAAAGCAAAACAAAACAAGCAAAAGATGTTAAAATATTAAGAGGCATTCAGAAAAGACAAGAGAGTTTAATTAAAACAGGAAGATTTTGAACTACATTTTCAAAGTGGCCTGAAGCATGCATGGAGTCTGCTAACTTTTCTTTTTACTCATGGACACAACAAAAAAACCTGAGAGAATCACATGCACAACTTTGATTTTCACTTGAATAGTGCAAGGTAGTGTACAAAGGCCTGGGCACAAAAGGAAAAGTCTATCATTTAGGTGTACAAAGGATGGTTGCGAACTACTGTGTTTGATCATGGGGGCATAGGCACAGAAAAATAAAGGAAGCACTTTGTTAAACTGAAATTTGGCAGATGAATAATTTATGAAAAAAAAAAAAAAAAAAAAAAAAAAAAAAAAAAAAGAAAGAAAGAAAGAAAAAGAAAGAAAAAAAGAAATCTATGCAATATGTGTGAATAACCATTCTGTAAATGACACTGTATGGGAACTGCTGAGTTACAGCCTCAACCCCTGAGGCAAGCAATGAGTCAGCCACGGGAGCACAGGTGAAGGCAATTCACCTGTGCTGCTGGAAGGGTTGGAGCCTGGCTGCGCCCCTCCTAGACCTATTTAAGAGCTGGCTATGAGGGGGGATCTCTTGTGCAGATCCACTTTGCTGGAGTTTGGTAGGTGAGCCCAGGATACGGGTAAGCTTTCTGTCAATTCTCTTTTTGTTATTATAATCTGCTTTGCCAGGCTCTCTTGTTTATTTTGTAATTATAACATCTTAATATTCATTGATTATACAGACACTTAACAATTATCCTGGAAAACAAAGTAACAGTAGACCTGAAAATCTCAGTTTAGCATAGTGCAAGGAAAATTGCAATGTTATTTTAAAGTGAATGGCTATTTCAACAATCTTGGAACAAATAAAATCTCTCTTAATTGGGTTTCAAGAACATATTCACAGTGGTGAGATCTGCTACTGCTTCACAGGTTTTGAACCTATTGCCATATTCCCAAGCCTTGTTGTAACTGCTATGGAATGGAACAAATATGAGAAGTATGTTTTGAGTCTGACTAAAAAAGAGTTAGAGAATCTGACAATTAAAAAAAGAAAAGCTATTTATGTTTAGTAAGCAGAATTAAGGGGCATGGGGAAAGTAGAGGAGACCATGCAATCAAATAGAGCAAGAAAGGGGCAGTTGTTGATTGGATGAGTGTATTCTAGGTGTTAAATGTCTTACAGTCCGGAAGAATCCCTGATATCCTGCCCTGGAGCACTCAGCACAGGAAGGATGTGAGGCTGTTGAAGCAGTCCAGAGGAGGGCCGTGAAGATGGTCAGGGGATGGAGCATCTCTCCTGTGAAGAAAGGCTGAAGGATTTGGGCTTGTTTTGTTTGGAGAAGAGAGCTCTGGGGAGACCTCACTGCAGCCTTCTTGTACTTGAATGGAGTTTACAAGGAAGAAGGAAACTGACTTTTTACATGGGCTGGTAGTGATAGGTCAAAGGGGAATGTCTGTAAACTAAAAGAGTGAAAATTTAAGTTGGAAGTTAGGAAGAGATTTTTTTTACTCAGAGAAGCTCTGGAACAGGGTGTCCAGAGAGACTGTGCATGCTCTATTTCTAGAGGCATTCAGGACCAGATTGCATGGGATCCTGGGCAGCCTGATTTGGTGGGTGGCAACCAGACCATGGCAGGGATTTTACAACTAGTTGATCTTTAAGGTCTAAACGATTCTATGAACCACTCAAAAAGTGTGGAAGTTGATACTGCAGTTATTCTTCAGGCCCATCTTTCATGTCTTTGAAAAGAGTGTTTGCCCAGTATAGTATGAAGTAGATTCTTTCTTAATTTTTGTGGAAATGTTAGAAAATGACACAATTTTTTAAATTCCTGAATAAGCCAACCTTTTCAGTCTTAAAGGTTTAAGAACAGAAGATTAGAACCTTTTTTTTTTTCTAAACTATCATGCTGACTACCAAGATTCTAGCTTCAAGCTGAATTAAAGAATGAAAAAAAAGTATGTGTCATAGAAAAATGCATATTATTCAAAGGGAAGAGGACAGTATACTGCTAGAATATGGTTTAGTTAAATTTAGGTATGTTAGAAATAAATTACTCTGCTACTGCTAAAAGCAAAAGACATCCAGTAAAACAGTACTTATTTACTGCACCTCCATAAAAATGACTGTTCTGAAGTGGTAAAGTTTGATAATGGCATCAACCTCTTTTACTGGCATACTGTAATTATATTTTTGTAATAATTCATTTACCAACCAGCTGGTGATGAAAGCTGTTATTTCCAGCCAAATGAAAAGTGCTCTGATTGAACTGAATGGCTTGGAATAAAATGTTTCTCCCTCATCAGTTTGTGAACCTACCTAAGAGTCAAGGTCCACATGCAGCAAACAGTTGCTTAGATACCCAACGGAATAAACCATAATCAAGGGACCCAGTTTCCCACTGTGAAAAATCCTCACTCTCTACTGCATCCTAAGGAGGGGAAAAATTATGTATGCACTGCCTGTTTTGCCCCACAGATGTTATGATATTAACAGCAGGCCATTTACAGCCCCCAAGTGAATGTCAAGGCTTTTGTTTGCATGCAGGGAGCACGTGATAGCCATGGAGCTGCCAAAAGGAATCTGTGAGAGGCTTGGGGTATTGCTGATATCCGGGTGCTGGCACAAGGATGAGAGCCGGCTGCTGTGGCTCTGCGCTCGCACTGGAGTCTCCTTCTGTTACTTTCCTTTGCAGTAAACAGGAGGAAAGAGCATATTGTTTTTGCAAGTCATATCACAAAGCCCTTCTCTGATCATCAAAATGACTCAATCAATATGTTGCTTTTCCACTGCTGGGTGAATGCTCGCTCTTTAATATTTAATAGATTCCTGGCAGTTGTGCATCTGGTGTCCTCAGCCAGGAGTCTGTGGTTGCCAGGCTCCCTTCCTTTGCCGATATCTCTCACACTGTAGGGCAGCATCCACCATGGGAGGTATTTCCTTTCTCAGAAACTCTCTCTTTTGCCACCTACTTTATATTCACCCATCTTTTTCTTAGCCCTCAAGACTTAGCTGCTGCCAGATGAAGGCTCCTCAGATGCAACCCTTCCTAGCTGCATTTTCACTACAAGAAAGACATTGAGGCCCTGGAACGTGTCCAGAGAAGGGCAATGAAACTGGTGAGGGGTCTGGAGCACAAGTCTTATGAGGAGCGGCTGAGGGAGCTGGGATTGTTCAGTCTGGAGAAGAGGAGGCTCAGGGGAGACCTCATTGCACTGTACAACTTCCTGAAGGGAGGTTGTGATGGAAAAAGGGTCTGGCCTCTTCTCCCAGGCAAATAGTAGGACCCGAGGAAATGGCCAGAAGTTATACCAGAGGAGGTTTAGGTTGAACATTAGGAGAAACTTTTTCTCTCAAAAGGTGGTCAGGCACTGGAATGGCTGCCCAGGGAGGTGGTGGAGTCGCCGTCCCTGGCAGTGTTCAAGAGGCGCCTGGATGAGGAGCTACAAGAGATGGTTTAGTAGCTTGTGGTACTGGGAATGGGAGGGTGGTTGGACTAGATGATCTTGCAGGTCGTTTCCAACCTTGCGATTCTATGATTTTCCAGGCAGTTCAGAATTTACTTCACAAGCTTGAAAGTCTGGCTGTGCCACTTGAAGCAGCATTAGCAGCCAAGCCCCTCCCAGTAAAATTTCTCCCAGTCCGCATGTTGTTGCCTGGAACTGGTGAGGTTATGAGCCTGAAGAGTGGGGATGTGAACAAAAAAAAAAAAAGGAAAAACTTGGATGGAGAGGGGTTTCTTGAATCAGTGTTGTTGCAAAAGCAAAAGTTTTGGACACTTTCTGCAGTGATACAACCAATGGAAAGACTGACAGAGCTGGCTTCAGATAAGGTCTTATATGTTTCAAGGAAACAAAGTACATTTTATGTGCTCTTTATAAATTCCACAAGTAGTTGGCCTCAATTGTTCCTGTAATATTTTACTAATAAAATCCTCTGTGCATACTTCTCAGAAAAAATCACGATAAAAAATGGCACATACACCAGTTGGCTTTGGAGTTTGTTCACCATATACACACACTTATGAGAAAGGTTTATGACATGCTTAGGAATTCTCTTAAAGAAATAATGTGTTAAAAAAAAATAAAAAAAAAAGTTATTCTCAAGTGAAAAACATAAAAGCTAGAGAGTATGTATACATGCTCCAGAGGTCTAATTTTACTGAAATTGATAGAGTAACTGTGGATTTGCAGCAATGTAACCTGACAAAATTTAATGCACATAGCTTAAACAGTCTGTAAAATGTCCTAGAATACTTCGGAACAATACATCTTGAATTATTTCTGCTGCATGGAAAAAGTACACTTGAAAACTACTTTTCTAGTGAGTCATAGATTTAACTGATAAACTATGTGTTCACTTGGAACTAGAAGCTAACCTGAGTGTCATCAGTGAGAATAATCCTCTCTTCAGTGACAAGATTAGATCTGTATGGAATAGATTTATTGCCACTGATGAGATCTCAGCCAGAGCACAGGCAGAGTTCAGGCAACAAATGATTCCTAAGAGTATATGGAAGTATACGGCATATAGAAGTAAACAGTGTATGTGTATATGCTTTTACACACGCACACATCACTGAAGTGCAGTTCTTTTTTATCACCAGTTTTTGAATTTGAAGTAAACTGTAAACTGAAGATTTGATGTATAAAACATAACTATGCAAACACAGTAAGATTTTGGTTTTTTTCTTGTATTATACATGGTCTGGTTCAGGACCTTTTTTCATCATTTTTCCATTCATTTGCCTACCTTTCTTGTAGAAAATAGAATTTGCTTTCAGTTTACATAACTCGGTATGCCTTTTTATGCCTTTTCTGGCTCCTTGGTCTCATATGTTCCCTGCAACCTGGTTCCTAGCTGGTATCCTGATACTCTAAGGTTTCTCTCCATGCCTATTTTGTTCTCTAAGACCAGTGACAGCTGTCTCTGTAACTCACTGCGATTTCCCTCTGGAATAATTTCCACAGAAACACTTCAAATCTAAAGTGTTGACACCAGACCAATTTAAGAACTACTCCTGGTACTATGCTATGTAATATTATCTACAACTCCATTTGTTGTGACTTAGTGGAGGAAGGGCTAATTCTGGAATCCAGAACACTTTTCCACCCTTTTGTTCGTCCTGCACAATCCTACAACACAGCTCACATTAGAGTGTTTGCTCCCCACCATAATATCTGCTCTGACTTATCCCCTGCTTGTGGTATGTGGAGCTGTCTGTCCTGCTCTTGTTAGTTCTACAGCTGGTAACTGTGACTCTGCTGAAATTGCACTGCAATTAATAATACTGTCCTTCATTCATGTTTGTCCACTTCTGAATGTTTTTCATTTGTGCTTCACATGTGTTACTCTGCAGCACAATGTGTTGCAATAGCCAGGCAATGTCACAAACCCCTGAGCTGCTGCCTCATTTGCAGGATGGTGTGTAGTCCTAAACTGCAATGCAGTAATTGCTCCTCCTTACATTGCTTATGTGCAGTATCCAAGAGCTGAAATTAAGTGATTACTTCATTGTATCGTTCTGGAACATTATGCCTGTATTATATGAACAGGCTGTAAGAAGTTATGATTATCGGTTTTTAGATGTAAAAGAAGCTGTGATAAGTAGATGGCTTAGAAACAGAAAAAAACCTTTTCTTCCTAATGGGGAGCAGAGGAGTTTTGATCACTCTAACACTGCTCATTCAAATATCGTGTGTTTGGTGCTGCTTGCTAGACAGGATTTCAGGATATAGTGCAACAATTTTTTTTTTTTTTAAAAAAGGAAGTTATTTCTACATTTTACCAGAATTTTTCTTTGTACTCAACCAGACTACCAAAGCCATTCTGTACAAAAGCATTTCTTTGGACAAAGAGCTGTGTAAATCCAATATGAACTGTCCTATCCTGTCTGCAGAGACCTTAATGCCAAGAACAAGAAGAATCACAAGTTTTGCAGCATGCCACTGGACAAGAAAAAAGGTAATGGGAAATGATTTTATTATATGGGCTTGTGTAATTGTAATTACAATTAGCCACACACTTAATGCTCCCCACTATGTTGCCTTAGCTGGGTATATATATGTCTGTCTTTCCTACTACTACTGGAATAATAGATGAAAGCTTCTAACCATTTTTTCATTGCCATGATCTGCTGGGAAAAGCAAAGCCAATCCCCACGGCATCACAAGAACCATATCAGCCATAACACCAAGATCAGCTTCATCTGCAGTCTATTATTTCTCCACCTGGCCTCATTGTAGAAAACCTCCCAATAAACTCACTAAGATGCACCAGGATGTGATGTAGGGTACAGGATGTGGGATATGAGATATTGGATGCGGCTGATGTGATGTACTGCAAACTACAGCTACATACTAGGTTTCCCTGCCAAATCTCTCTCCACAATCACAAATGGGGTCCAGAGGGGTAAAAATCCTCATTTTTGGATTAAGACCCCTTTCTCCTCATGTGGAAGCATTAAAGGAGGCATTGTGACTCACAGTGGTATCTTGTCTGAGATAGGATAGGGAAGAGACTGAAAAGGAAATGCAGTGAGGAATTCATGTTTGCTTTTGTTCTCCAGTCAACACAGATTATATATATATAAATTTACAGAGAGTGTACTGAAAAAGACATTTCTGGGAAATTTTAGAAAATATTATCGTATAAATTTTTAACTAAAAAAAAAACCACCACAGCACAGTATCATTATTTGACAGAGAAAAGTAAGAAGGAGGTCATCCATGACTTGCAAATATTATGGCAGAAGTACTGCTGTAATTTCTTTTCCCATCTATTACTGACTATACTGTTTAGCTTTACAGTAAATCCAAATCAAAACTTGATCCTATGGAAAAAAATAAAGGAGTAGATTTGAGGGAAAAAAAAGGTTTTCCTCTCTTTTCTAGAAGTTGTATGAGCTGCCATCTGCATAGTGTGGTGCAGTGATAGGGGCTGACCTGCTGGCATCCTGGTAGCCCTAGCTGTTACTTTGACTGACAGCATCTGTGGACAACATGGACCATAATCATTCAATGACAGGGAAGACAAGCATGGAAAGCTGAGCTTGGTCTCAACCCTCAATTCCTCATCTCCAACACACGTTAGAGATGACATGTCCAGCATGTCTACCTATGTCATCTCACTGTTCACTTCTGCACTGCTCACCAGCAAACCTAAAGCATGGCTTAACCAAAGCACTGTTAGTGTCCTCTTTCCTTCAGGTTCTGGCTTGCTTTGGATTTGGTCAAGGTGATTTTATGTGTGGACAATTCTCTCCATGGGGCTAGACAAGCAACATTATGTTCATTTAATTTTGGCCATAACTCAGATCTCTGGGCTGTTTTATCTCTCTGAAATGTTGAAACACCATAAATCTTTTCTCTAGAAGTCTCAAAGTTGTATTTTTCAGTCTTTCCAAGACTGCTTATACTGTCTGTTTCACTTATTCTCCTGTAAAAGTGAATGAATTATACATTAAAAACAGTTGAGCAACCATTCTCATGCACCACAACCACATTTTTTCATTTGATGTCTGGCCTAGCAGGCACCTACTTCAGCATTTTAGGCTGGTCTTAACTCTTTTGCATTGGCAGAGGTGGGAGTAAGGCTACAAAGCTGAGATCAGGATAGGTACAGTATACATATGACCACATCAAATAGGTGCTACAAGGGATAATAAGAAAGATCATCACACAGATTACATGGGAGATGATAGGGGAGACATATACATACTGGAAAGAGTCCAGCAGAGAACGACTAGGATGATCAAAGTGATGGAGCACCTCTCCTATGATGAGAGGCTGAGAGAGCTGGGAGAGGTGAAGATAAGGAGCTATCTTCTCAATGTGTATAAATACCTGAAGGGAGTATGCAAAGAAGAGAGATCTAGGCTTTTTTCAGCAATGTCCTGCGCCAGGACAAGAGGCAATGGGCACAAATTGGAGCAAAGGATGTTCTCTTTGAACACTAGGAAGCACTTCTGTGATGTGTGGTTAATGGAGTAATTGCACAGGCTGCCTAGAGAGCCTGCGGAATCTCCTCCTTGGAGATCTTCAAAGCTGCCTGGATGTGGGCCTGGACACCTTGCTTTGGGTGGCCTACCGTGAGCAGTGATGGACCAGGTGACCTCCAGAAATTCCTTCCAAACTCAGCTATTCTGAGATTTTTTATACATAGTTCATCCTATATCAGGCTCAGGATAGGCTGTCTGTGCCTAGTGAAGTCCATATCATAGCTCTGCACAGGTCACAGGACATGTTGCAGTAACAGTATTTGTTTAGTGCAAATGGAAAATGCATTTCTCTTCAGCATAGGGAGTCACAGGGAGCTTCATTAAAATGAAGAATATTCTGTAACAGCCACGTTATAATGGTCACAGAATTGTCACTTGGGAAACTCAATTGTCAATTGAAACCGTCTTTATTTGAGTTAGGATTTATAGAGCCTGTTTGCTTTCACTCTTTGGCACTTTCTTGACAGTACGGAAAGAATATCCTGCTGTGCAAGGAGACACTGTTTGCATACATGCTGACACACAGTGAATCCTTTTTAATCTTGGCACCTATGAATCATTAAAAGCTTTGGTGTTGAGGCTGTCACAACTGGGAAGTGTAGAACTGGGATTGTAATCAAAAATTGCCTTTTTATTTCCCAACCAGCACCATGTATCAAGCGTTAAATACTCACTGTAGCACCAATGATTTTGTTTTTCTGTTGTTTCCAATAGAAAGAAAGTTTCTCCCAGGTAATCAGCACCCTATAACCTCTTCCTGTGATGCTGCAGGCCTGTATTTGCACTGCTGATGTCAATCCAGCAGGAATGATGGGTGTGTGCTGGATTACTTCAAATGTTTCCAAAGGCTGGCAGTAAGGAAGAAAGCATCTCACTCTACTTATCTGTGTGAAGTTCTTGATAGCCATCAGCAAACTAAAGAAAGAAATTGAGAACAGGCATAGGAAGGAGAAAAGCGTTCAATATGGACAGCTTTGCATTTAAAATATTATCACTTGCTTCAGTTGAAGTAATGATTCTTTTAAGCTCAAAAATAATTGGTTTGCTCTGTTGTGCTTCTTTTACAGAAGAAAACTTTTCCTGTAGCATTTTATCCTCTTGTTTAAATACATTTCCCATATAATAAACACTTCTTTGAGCACATGGATAACAATATGACTAAGATTCTTGCAAGCCTGTCCAAAACCTGCTCTTTCAAATACAGTCTCACAAGCTCTGAGTGTTTACTGACTTAGAGGGGAAGGATTTGGTCCTGAAATGATTCTAGGATAGATGTTTTCTATCCTCATGGCAAAGTACTGTAGTGCTTTTGATTGGCTCCTTGGTGTTAGAGATTTCCTACAGTGCGCATATTCCAAGGCCTGGTACTTTTGGAAAACAACGTATTTATTCAGAAGACACCATTTTAAAGACTCTTGTCAAGTACTTTGACCTTCCTTCCTCTCACAGTTTTTTTGGTTATTTTTTCATCTCCTTTGCTTCTTTCAAAGCTGAAGATATTTTAAAGCCATGTAACAACCAACCAGCACAGCAGAAATAGCAGTCGAAAGAATTCAGGCCTGTGGGAATGTGAAGGCATCTTCTGGATAAATAAACCTCACATAAGAGACAACACAAGTAAGCTGTAGAAGCAGCTGAAATATAGTACTTCAGAGAAAAGTATAAAGGAGAGGCAGAGGAGTGGGGGTGAGGCAAAAATAACCAATAGCCTTCTTTATTCATTACTGTTCTGCATCTAATGTGATCTTCCCACAGACTGAGGTATGAGATAAGCTGGCACCAACAACAATTATTTCTATAAAGCAGAAATCCAATGATTTCACATACCACCAACTAAATCATGCTTGTGAAGTGATGCAACAGACTAGATTTCTTTTGTCTTTATTTTTGTCTCTCCTCAGTCTCTCTCTAGTACACATACACGTGTGCTGACAGTGCAATCCTGGTACAGTGAGGGGTCAGACCCAGTTGTTTCTGGACACGTGCATCTCTCAGCTCATGATCTGCCCTTTGCAGCTGCCAAGAATTTCTCAGGGCTGACCGTAAGCAGTGCAGAACCAAAAAAATCCAGAAATGCCTGGGAGCATTCTAATCCTTTGCCTGGAGGAGCAAACAGGCTCTGCCAAGTTCCTACTCAGACACGGCCATGTGCCACTTTCTGTGGTAGTCGCGCAATTCTTGAAGGGGCAGAATTGAGCTGTATCCCATAAGGCAGCCCCTGTGTGGCTGCAGTTGTCATGAGGCTGACTGGTGAATGCTCCCACGAGGGTGCTACAATGACAGATGGAGGAGGGGGTGTGTATTTCTTAGATGTTCTCCAGTCTTTCTAAATATTTGGTTTTTCCATTTCTGAGCACTAAAGCATTCATGTTTTAACTCAAGTCAGCCATGAATTACTACAAGATAAAACAAATCTCCTTTATAGAACTACTCCAGGAACAGAGCAGGGTTTTACAAGCAGGTATTAAAGCCTCTTTTATGCTAAGCTGATACGTCCTGCGTGGACCTATTTGCAAGCAATGACTCCTGTGCACTTTGTAGCCACCAATACACCTCTTTCCTGAAAAACTGCTAAGCCCTCCTTGCCCCACTGGCAGAAATCTACCTTAATCAGACACATCACTTAACTCAATGAAAAGTTTCTAGATATTGAGGCAAAATTTTCTCCATTAAAGATCTTTCCTGAGCTGGGTTGACTGTTGGGTTATATCTCAGCTCTCACCAGCTCCACAAAATCATACTCTCAGATCCCTCCCTGCAATTATCATTGCTGTTTTTGATGGAATTCTCTTCCCTTTGTTTTTTCACTTTTCACTTTCAGTAGACAAGACAATAAATGCACTTAACTGTAAGGGAGGTCAATCTTTACAGTGCACCATTACATTTGATTTAAAATTACAGTAACATCTATGGTTCCTACAAAGTAGGAGCTAAAAGTAAAATGTTTATTAAGTAATTCTTATAATGTATAACATCTATATTACATTAGCATATCACATAAACGTTAGCTACAAGTAACAGCTTTTTAGCTGCATTTAGCATATTTTTTCATATGATAAGATTAAAGTTTTTTGAAAATTCACATATGAAAAGAGAATTCTGTAAGATGCCAACTGAGGAAACCTGTAATGTTGAAATGTGATAACAAAATTGCAAACAGCATTAAGTTAAAGAAAATGTAAAATTATGATGAAAACTAATTCTTTATATCTAATTTTATTAATGTTTTAAAACATTAAAACATAAAAGAGTCATATCTCATTCATGACAATTTTTAATAGAAGAATAGCGTTCATAAAGAAGAAAGACTAGGATAGTCAGCTATGGTATTTGATTCAATTATATCGTATAGAGACCAAACCTTATTTCTTTTCTCTCATGAAACATTTCAGATAGCAGAATGGCTGATTTGTACAGACACAGCTGTAGAGTAGACAAGTACCTGCTTCTTTTACCATATATTTTTTATATTGTAGCAACAAGAGTAATTACTATGGTATAATGTTAGCGTGCTACGTTTTATTGTTACTGTAAGTAGCAGTTTGAGTAACGTGCCATATAATTTCAGATTGCTATTAGCAAATGCAGAACAGAATTTGGAAAACATAATCCCTGGCAAAACTAATGTTAGTCATGGCTAATATTATTTTATAGATTTTTGAGTTTGGGTTCCTACTACCTTTATGTTTGTATCTATAGTACAAGGTCATGTATAGCACTTTACAACTGTGAAAAAAAATCAGGGACATTATTTACTTATGTAGAAAATCCACTTTCTTATCAGTACACCTCTGCGAAAAGCTACATGCGTAACAGCTCAGAAGAGCTCTAGAGAAAATGAAAATATGACCAAGCATATCAACTTATCTATGCCGTTGTCCATACCAGAAACTGTGGCACCTCAGTGTTTTCTAGCATCCAAATTGCACTTTCAGAAAGTGGTGAGCAGCAAGATATCTCTGTGCAGCAATCCAGAAGGTTTATGATGCATCTTCTGGTCTCTCTCTGGCCCATTTCCTTAATCATGAGGCTGATCACTGGGGCAATTTTTAACAGTTCCTGTTACATTTCATTTTGCTTTCCTTGGAAACCATAATGAATCTTCGCTTTAGATCCCCTCCAACCTCTAAATCAGCTACTCTTCTCCCAGCAGCCGTGGGCACAGAGAGGACCTTGCAAGCACTGTTGTGTTAAAGGCACTGGAGTGTGAAGCAAAATAATTAAATGGGGCTGACATAGTTTTCAGAGAGGCTTTCTGATCTATCTGTGACAATTAGGCAGCCTCTAAGTGCTCTATAGCCACTTACCAGTAAGGAGAGTCTGTTCAGACATAGCCTTAGAGTTTCACCCTGCTGAAGATACTTTTTCCCCTCAAGCCCTTTTTTTGCTACTTTCAGAGGAGGAAGAGGGCTGGGAGCTCACAGAATGCTCCTGCTAA